TTTTATAAATATGGTTTTAGTAATGTTTTCAAAGAAATTTTTAGTCGTGATTTTTGGGTCGTTACATGAACACATCAATTTAGTCATGGCTCGACCATGCACTTTCGACGTCATCACTCAATCATCGAGGGACCCATAGATGGCGCTTCCTAGTTACAATAAGGAACAAATAAACTTTGACTACATAGTTTTTTCCTACTCGACTAATCATACATGGAAATACCCTTTATGACTACCAATTATAGATAACGTTGGGAGCACACCAATGCACAACAAATTTTGCAAACAAAATCCCATATATATCTCGGTTTGAATAATAAAAGATATTATCATCTTAGAACTACTTGTGACTAAATCCATGAAGTAATCTCCAAATGCGTGTTGTTCCGGTACTCGTGACACACCTTTTAGAGAATATTGATATTTTTGGTGTTGAAAAGTGATGAGCTGATTATGAATTCGGAAGTTCTCATAAATCTTTTGGTTTTCAAAAGAACCTGTCTATCTCTTTCTCTCTCTATCTTTCTCTCTCTCTCTCTCTCTCTCTCTCTCTCTCTCTCTCTCTTTCTATATATATATATATATATATATATATATATATATATATATATATTACAAAGTGATTTTATACACTAATCTTTTTATATGCTTTCTTTGTTATATATAATTCTATTAGATTTTAGGACCAAATCAAGATATTAATTTACCTATTGCTTATGTTAATTGTCAAAATTATGGTGTGTGTATGTTTGTTTTTAAAAAAAAAAAAATTAAGAATGGATATGAGATGAATTTGCTTAAGTGGGAAGTAAAAATACTTATCCCACATCGATGTTGAGTTTGAACATAAAAGTTGTAAAGCTCTTTAAAATGGATTATTATTTTTTTCTTTTATGGAAAAGGCAAATGGATTAAAAAAGCACCCGAAAAAGCAAGCTGCAAAGAAGGGGCCGAACCGCATACAATCAGTAACAATTACATATAACAAAAAAATTGAGTTTAGAAATTGAGAGGGCAGGAGGTCCAATCTTCCCAATTGCAGGCGCCATCTTTACCCCTCACCTTCACCCAAAGATACGACATTGAGTGTATGTTCTCAACCAATTTATCAGGGGACACAAAATATGCTTGAAAGAGGCGATTGTTCCTAGCCTTCCAGACACTCCACAATAGATAGTAACAAATGGGTATTAGCATGTCTCTTTTCTTAGGGCACCTTCCCTAGGTAACGGCCAAATGAAGTATATCTCAAACATTGTGAACTTCCATTGCGTTGATCCCACACATCGAATATAGATTTCCTGACAGACCTCACGTAAGGGCATTTAACCAGTAAGTGGTACGGGCATTCCACCTCATTGATACAAGAATTGCATAGAACGGTATCTAGAGGCACACCTCTGTGTCCAAGAGCGACCGCAAAAGGAGTACTACTAAGAGATGCTCTCCATACGAAGGCCGACACCTTAATTGGGATTAGTTTGCACCATCGGATGTCCATCTGGTTGAAATTTGGAGTTGGTTTGTGATAAATTCTTTTTCCTCAACAAAGCCACCTTATAATCATCAGTTGCCAACACACAAGACAGGTGGTCATGTCTAGGTTGTATATGTGTAGTAGCCACCTCATTTGTCAAATGAACTAAGTTATTGGACAAATCGGCAGCGATAGGACAAGTTTTCAATTTCCAATTTTGCCCATCAGTGCCCCTTCTATCCACCACAAGACACGATTTTTCCTTCTCAAGATTATATAGGTTAGGGTATTTAGATTTGAGACTACTATCACCAACCCACTTATCCCACCAAAATTGAGTTTTATTCCCTGTTTTGACAGTCTGCTTAAAGATGCCATTAAAAGTGATACCCATAGCTTCCAAGTCTTTTTTAGTTCCCGCAATATTATTCCACACCCCTGTTATCCTTCTTTTCGACTAGTATTCCACGGGCTTATTATATGTTGGGTTAATCGGTTATTTGAAAAGCAATAGGAAAGTTTCTTTTTCATTAGTTTTGTTTCCTAGTTTTAGAATAAGAGTCGAAGTCTTTTTTTTATGGTTTTAGAGGTTCATAAGGTATCTAATTAATTAGTATAAAAGTAGGCGTCATTTGTTTTAATGCAATTTACTAGTTCTTTCTTTGTTTTAACTTTAAGAGCAAGTTTTCTTCCACTACATTCTTCTTCTGTTTCCGTGTTCCTTGCACCACAAAAGAAAACTAGTTTATTTTCTTACACTTGGTATCAGAGCGCGGTTTCGTTGAAGGGGGTGTGATTCGAGGTTGATTAGAAACAACCCCGATTTCTTTTAATCGGACTTGTGAGAGACTAACCGGAGGCACGGAGTAAACGAACGGAAAGACGTCAAAGCGGGTGGCTTTGATTCGGTTCGTTTTGCGGGTGACGGAAGACGGTAAAGGTGGTCATGACCTTGTCTTGTTGTCCGGTGGAAGAGTGCTCTCGGAACAAGCTTGATTAAAGAAGTCGGGGTTAAGGAGAAAAGGATGTCGTTGGTTAAAGAAGGAGGTTCATTGACATATCAAGTTCCGGTTTTGACTCCAACGAATTATCCGGTGTGGGCGGTTAAAGTCAAGTCGATTATGGATGCACATAGCATATGGGAGACGGTCGAACCGAAGACGTTAGATAAAGCACCAGATCAAAAGAAGTCAAAACAAGCTCTTGCTTTTTTGTTTCAAGCGATACCCGAAGACATGGTGTTGCAAATGGCGAGTTACACCGACCCAAAGCAAGTGTGGGATGGGCTAAAAACACGGTATTTGGGAGTGGATCGGGTGAGAACGGCTCGACTTGCAACCTTAAAAAGGGAGCTTGAAAGTTTACGCATGAAGGAGGATGAAACGGTTGATGATTTTGTGACGAAATTATCCGGTTTAGCGTTAAAAGCAAGGAGTCTTGGATATGAGCTTGAAGAAGGTGATTTGGTAAAAAGGTTACTAGATTCGATGCCTAAGTCGTTTCTTCAAATCGTGGCTTCAATAGAGCAATGTTTCGAGTTGGATTCAATGTTATTTGATGAAGCGGTTGGTAGATTGAAGGCATACGAGGAGCGTATAAGAGGAACCGAGAAAGTGGAGGACACTCAAGGTGGGTTGTTGTTGGCTAGTGAGGAAAAATCACATGTTTGTAAGCATTGTGGCAATGGACGTTCAAATCGGGATGACTTTGGACGTGGCCGGGGAAGAGGTCGGGGGTCTGGGAGAAGTCGAGATAGTAATGAACGTGTCCGGGATAAAAGTCACGTTAGATGTTACAAATGTGGTGAGCTTGGTCACTATAAAAACGAGTGTCCTAAATGGGAAAAGGAAGAAGCGGGTCTAATCGAAGAGGAACCGACATTGTTTTGAACGAGTGGTTCGTATGACCAAACCGATTAAGGGGATGATTGTTGGGTTAATCGGTTATTTGAAAAGCAATAGGAAAGTTTCTTTTTTATTAGTTTTGTTTCCTAGTTTTAGAATAAGAGTCGAAGTCTTTTTTTTATGGTTTTAGAGGTTCATAAGGTATCTAATTAATTAGTATAAAAGTAGGCGTCATTTGTTTTAATGCAATTTACTAGTTCTTTCTTTGTTTTAACTTTAAGAGCAAGTTTTCTTCCACTACATTCTTCTTGTGTTTCCGTGTTCCTTGCACCACAAAAGAAAACTAGTTTATTTTCTTACATTATATAGGTTATGTAAGCCAGTAATACCTTTGGCCCATAATAAATCCGACTCCCTTTTTAATCTCCACCACCACCTGACGATTAGACCCATATTCAATGCCCAAATCGAACCCACTCCAAGGCCACCAAGTTCTTTAGGAGCGATCACCTTCTCCCAAAAAAACTTAGTTTATTCTACTTTTTTCTTCGTTTCCACCCCATAAGAACCTCCTCCTGATCTTCTCTAGAGATTCGATGACTCCAACTGGAGTACGAAATATAGATAGGTAGTAAGTTGGTAAATTGCCCAAGACCGATTTGATTAGCGTGAGTAGCGTGAGACGTCCACCAAATGACAGAGTTTTGGATTTCCAACTTGATAACTTGTGAAATTTTTCGATAATAGGCTTCCAATTTTTCACCAAATTCATATTTGCGCCCACCGGAACGCCTAGATAGGTGAACGGTAGAGACCAGGATGTTTTGCCCATTAAGATGTTTCACCGGTTGGTGCTCCAATCCCAAACACTCTTATTTTTGAAAGTTTACCTTCTAACCTGAAGACACTTGAAAACACTTAAGAATTCTCGCAAGATTTTTAAGATTTGTTTTCGACCATTCCCTCACAAACAGCGCGTCATCCGCGTAGAAAAGGTGTGATATCAAAGGACCGCCACCCGGGATTTGTATACCTTTGAATATGCCTTTCTCAACAGCCGTTTTGATTGCCACGTTTAAACCTTCCATCGCGATTATGAATAGGAATGGAGAGTAATTACAATTGATTTAAAGTAGGGAAGAAAAACTACTCGGAAGGGTTCCCATCACTATATAGCCGGAACTTAATTTGTATTTTGTGTTATTGAGACTTATATAAATGAATTGGATGAATTTTTTGGTTTTAAAAGAAAGATATTTTGGATATCAGGTCAGAAATCCTAATATCTATCCTAATATCTAAAGTTTCGGATATCCGGTTTTGAACACTGCTAAATGCAATGCATGGAATAACTATATATTGCCCATCTAACAAGAACAGTTCGAATAAAAAATAAAAATGAATTATTAAACATACAATTTGAAGCATACTACCTGGACAGATTCTTGTAATTTACTGTTTATATATCATTCACTCTCATTAGTATATGTGTTATTTAAAAGTCAAAAGCCATCATTGTCATTTGTTTTAACTAAATATATATTTCATTATACTGGTCCTTTAATCCCGGCGAATTGTCTAAAGACTTTTGATTATAAATAGACGATGCAATATATGGTCTCCTGTAATACAAACTTCGACGTACCCCTGAATTCACTCTCCGGTGGTATTTAGACAAGATGTGGAGTTTCTTGGAGCAGGTGTCGATCTACACCTTGCCGCTGTTTCTAGGTGCTGCGTTCATGCTGTTTAGATGGTACAATTCCACATCATCACCCACCACCACCAAGAAACTACCACCGTCACCACCAAAGTTGCCGGTTATCGGCAACCTCCACCAGCTGGGTGCAAGCGTCCACCACGCTTTCTTCTCTCTGGCCAGACGTTATGGTGATTCTCTGATGCTCCTGTACATCGGCTCAGTCCCAAGCCTGGTGGTCTCTTCATCCGATGCAGCTCGCGAGATCATGAAAACACATGATATAGCATTTGCCAGTAGGCCAAACACAAGGATGTTCAGAACTATCTCCTACAATCTCAAGGAAATAACAGTCGCTCCTTATGGTGAATACTGGAGGCAAGCAAAGAGCATTCTTACTCTCCAGCTTCTAAGTAACAAAAAGGTCCAAAGTTTTCATGGATTCAGGGAAAAGGTAATCGCCGAGTGTGTAGATAAGATAACCCATTGTTTCTTGTCTAACACGCCTGCAGACTTGAGCGATTTGTTTAGCTCACTTACAAACGACGTGACATGTATGGCGACGTTTGGGAGGACGTATAATGAAGGGGAGATTGGGAAGAAATTCAAGAAGATCATGCAAGAGTTCTCGGAGGTGTTGGGTAGCTTTTACTTTGAGGACAGGTCGTCGCTAAAATCATATTGTTGCCGGTATTGATGTCCGGTAATACATGTGGCCGCTGATAGTCATAGTCGCCAGTAATGGTGTCACCGATATTAACAATCATCGGCACAACATCCGTCGCCGGAACTGTACCTCGTCGGAGTTGTATGTCACCGGTAATGCCCTTGTTTTTTAGTTATTAACAAATGTACAACATGCTAAACATAAACTAATTAATCATCCTCACCATCTTCGAGCTCATCGTTTTCCTCATCATCAACCCCCGTATCCTCGCCACCACCTTTTTTCAACATCGATTGAAACCATTTAAAATGTTTCTTCCTCAGTTTTTTTATAATAGCATCAATGAGACCATCCACCTAAAAAGTAAATATGGACATTAATAAAAACATCCTAATCGTTAACATACCAAAATATCAAATAGAGAAATTAAATATCCTCATATATATATTTTCCTCCTATATATCCTTTTAGGCTCTTACCCATCTTAAACGATGAGATGTGTCATATTTAATAAAAATATACAGGAAGAAATGTAGGACACATGTCAGCATTTAAGATGAGTATGAATATATATAAGAAAAAATGTAGAAGGATATTTAATTTCTCAAATACCAATAAGAGAAATCAAATATCATCCTACATTTTATTTCTATTATGTTTCTACACACTTAAGATTGTGACATTTGTTATATTTAATAAAAATTAATATATTTTAGTTACACTTGTCATCGTCTAAACATGGTAGGAGGATGGATAGAAAAAAATATAATCATATTTAATTTCTCTACCAATAAATATAAACCAAACAAGTTAATAAACTTCCTAATTATCAAACTTTCAATTACAAAAGCTACCAAAATACCAAACTAACATAAATCAAACTATATATCAAACTTCTAATTAATCATCAAAACTAACAACATACCAAACTATCAAGTAATCAATATACCAAACTACATATCAAACTTCCAATTACCAAAGATACCAAACTAAAATACCAAAGTAAAAACATAAACCAAACTTCCGATTACCAAACAATATACCAAATAATCAACAAGTATCAAAATTACTAAACTAACATGCATTTATCAATCTTTATTTGATAGTTTAAAATTAAGAATATATTTGAAGGCTTACGCCCAATCCCTTTGATATTTCATCGTTGAACACCTAACACCTTTTCAAATGATTCTATCTCAACGAATAGTGTTAGATTAGTTCTTTCGGGTAAACCTTGTGTTTGCATTTCTAGCTCTCGTGCTATGTCATTATGTATGTTCCAAAGATAATAGATTAAGACACACACACACACATGGTATTTTGGATGACGATTTACTCAAGGGTATTTTGGATGACGATTTAGAATTTGTCCTTTGATTGGATAGGTGACGGTTAGAGCTGAGATTCAGAGTTGAGACCTCATCGGCTACTTTTCAAACTGTGAGGTGAGTCTTCTTCACTGTACTTACGGGTCGAAGGCACCAAGGCCGGCCCATTGGATTAGACATATTGTTATGTGATAGTATGTTATTGTACTGTACTGATCGATTAGATCTGTCTGATTATCTATCGACTGCTTATATGTTATCTGTTATATGTGCACATATTTGGTTGGTGGTTGAGGCTTTCCTGCTTTGTGTGTGAGCCAACAGGCCAAGGGTATTCCATCCCGATGGATGACTGGACCCGACATTGGCATTCCAACCTAGGGTATTTCATCCCGAGGATGAGTGGACCCTATGGTTGACTGGGCCTGAGGTATTCCAACATGATGGTTGACTGGACCCGATATATATATATATATATATATATATATATATATATATATATATATATATATATATATATATATATTGGCATTCCAATCTAGGGTATTCCATCCCGAGGATGACTGGACCCTATGATTGACCGGGCCTGGGGTATTCCAACCTGATTGTCAATTGGACCCGACATTGTTTATTGTATATGTTATATGCTTGTGTGTTGGTACTTTGGGGAAACTCACTAAGATTTGGCTTACGGTTTTAGTTTATTGTTTCAGGTACTTCAGATGATCGTGGAAAGGCGAACGCGTGACCGTACACATCTTCTTGTTATGGGTTTTTTTTATGATTTTGGGATACTCTGATATTAGATAAATATTTTGGAAACATTGGTTTGTAAACATTTTATAACTACAGTGTGTTTTTGAAAAGTTTAAATTTGTTATGATTTTCGGTTGTGTTACAAAAAAGTTCGAGTAACTTGGTTTCTTAGGTCAGAGGAGAAAAAGAAAGAGAATGAAGGACGGGAATTACAAATCATCAGTTTTATGGTCGACCAGTCGTCGAAAACGCCCAAAATCGTTGCCCCCCCCCCAAAATCGTCGGTATAAACACTCTGATGTTATTCCTGTTGCGTGGTGGTGATAATCGGCCGATGAACAGGATTACACTTTGCAATCGATCAGACTCATTTGAAATTGCCAGAGAAAGAAATGTTAGAGAGATAGCCACGTAAGTGAGAAATCAGGGATGAACTGGCCGATGTAATAGCAGGGCTTTAACGACAACACCGGTCAATAGTAGCGACATGTAGTGGTAAATGGAGGGAAGAATTCTTGGTCATTTTTAGGGTATTAGCGTTGACACTTTCAGTGTTTATTTTGTACGATGAATAGCCATTGACCGTTGGATTGAATGGTGAGATTGATGGATGGGGTGCAGCCTCGGTACATCACACAGATAGTGGTTGAGAAGTAATATCTACGATATGTTTGCTTTGTCGCCGGTAATGCATATGTAGCCGATATTAATTGGATTTCTTCTTGTGTATCGATGATCATTGATAATTGACAAATTTATTATAAAAAACATAACTTTTTCTTTTAAAAAAACCATATATTTAAAAACAAATATATTTGAATTTGTTTTTTCATTTAGGACCAACTTTTTGTTTTAGCTCATAATTCATATGCTTTTGTTCCTACTTTTGTTTATGGTGTGTTAATGGTTTTCAACATTAAAATTTGAAGGAAACAGTAGATTTTTCTTACAACAAGGATAATGGTGTTTATGTATGTAACTGCTAATTTGGAAATTGAAAGTTTTGCGGCTGCTAACTTGAATGAAATTATATAACAAATGGTTATGTATATGCTAATTTAAGGTTTTACATATGCTAACTTTATGGAATGAAGTAGAAGACAAATTACCCAAGTAGATAGCACTTGACATGGTATGTTGATCATAATATAGTTTCTTGATATTGCAATGTCAAAATTAACATTACTAGATATGGTTATTCCTTTATTGTGGGTTTCCAATTTGGTTTTTGGTGCTAAGTGTTTGTACAAGGAATTGACCCCACACAACTCTATTTTTTGATGTTTTGAAAGCTTTTTTATGTGTTTAAGTTTAAGATTTGATGTAATATTGGATGGAAGACCCGCAACTGTGAAGAATGACATCTAGTTTTGGTGTTCTCTACAGCAAAACTGTATTTTAATGTGTATTATATTAGATAATATCATTCTCAAATTTGATGTCAAAGGCATGCAAGTATGGTCTGTTTGTCCACCATACTTAGGCACGGTCTTATCTAGTTTAACACTCAGTAGCTCCTATATATAAGGGTTAGGGTAGTACTTTAAACGTGTTTCTAGAAGTGAAAAAACATCTGAGTGTTGAGATTTGTTCTCTCTTGTAAGCCTCAGTTTGAAATACAAGTTGCATCTTTCATCCTTAAATTTTTGTTCTTTATCACTTATCAACCTAAAGTCTTGCATGCAAGCTTAGTTAAGATTCAAAAAAGTTATATATATGTTTTACATTTATCTTATAATCGTTGTTCTATTATATTATGTTTGATATATCATTCTCCATTGAAATTATTGTTGAGCTATAAAAGATCATTTAAAGAACTTACATACTTCTACAAATCATTCCATATTCATTTTAGGTTCTCAACGATTGGTATTAGACTCATAGTGGTTGCTCTTGAGTTTTTCTGATTGTTGTCCTACAAAAAAAACTTGTTTTTGTACATTTTAGAAAACGTTTAAAAGGAAGCTTTATGTACCACTTAGCTCACTCTTATTTATAAAATATTAACATAACTATGACACAACATTATTTTTTAAATGTATCTAACCGTATGTATAGTTCCACTAGAGCTCCCATACTTATTAAAGATGAGTATCACCATTGGCATCAAATGATGAAAAGATACCTAAAAAGATTGGGAAAAGATGTTTGTAAATCCATTGAAGAAGGACCACATGTACTCCAATCACAGATGAAATGGCAACACGACTTGACGGAGACGGTGCTATGTTCATACCCATAACCAACAATATCTACAAAATGGATAACAATGAGATAACTTTTCACAAAATATCTTGTGGTGTTCCACGTGATATCCATGATCTCATTATCAACCGCAACTTAGCAAAAGAAATTTGAATAACTCTTCAGAACATGTTCGATGACACTAAACAAGCAAGAGACAAGAAGCTAACTACGACGTTGAATGAATTTAACGGATTTCAAGCTCTTCTTAGAGAAAGTTTCTATGAATCCTTCAAAATATACAACCTAATCACCGCTTAGAGTGACTATAGGAACAAACACGCAATTTGTGATTTAACAAACAAGATGGAAAAATAGTGTTTAGTTGACATTTACGAGTTCAATGATTCATCTAATGCAATTCGTTAGCTAACACAAATGTAGTGGTAATAAATTTCTTAGCACCATTTAAAGTCATCAATTACCTCTCGGTGTCATCATTTGATTTAAAATCACTCATTCATATCTCTATGCAGTTCATGAAATTAAAAATCATTAAGTTTAGCGATTTTATTAAAAGTGTATCAACACATGTCTATGTTGATTTTAAATGGAATCACGAAATCACACTTACATGTTCAAATGATTTCCCAACTAAAAGCTTCTCTCGATGTCAATAATTGCAATTAATTACAAAATAAAATTCAAATTATTATTGAGCGGATAATAAACCTTCAATTAATTAATCAAATTTCATAAAAT